AAACCATCAGCGGGTGTGCTCACACGTTTTTCGACATTGCCATCAAGTTCTACCTTTGATTCGGAATGGGTTTCAAGAAAAGAGTATAATGAGTTGCTAGAGCGTATAGCGAGTATGGAAGCTCGCATTGCTCAACTTGAGAAGCGGTGAGGTACCCGGTTTGAAGCATCCTCTTATGTCATCAGTTCTGCTCGAATAAGGGTGTACCCTCTCGGTTTCTGCTGTTAACTGCTCGAATGCCTACTTATGATATGTATGCTTATTGTATGTCTTCCTCCATTGAATGCCTTAGTAATTACCGTTTCATGATAGTTCGGTCTGTATTGTAAGGCCATCAATTAGCTGCGGAATGAGGGCTAGGTGATTTGCTATCTTTTATATTACATCTTATTGACATAAATTTCAAGGTCTACCTATCCTGGTATGGTCATATTTCTTGTAGCTATTTGAGTCAGTTGTTCGCTGGCAAGCTTTAGCCATATCGTTTATTTCGAGAGTATCGGCAATTGTTAATTATTAGCCTCTTCTGTACAGAATTTATGGGCTCCGTAGGCCAATGCAATTCATACAAGATTTACGTCATGTTACGGCTGTATTATTAGTCCATCTCTCTCGTCAGCTTGTAAATTTATCATTTGTATCGAGATCTAACAATATTAGTATGCCATTCATCGCTTACTGTTCTTGTTGACGATTATTAATTCATGGACTGAGTTATTCCTTCTCATTCATACTTCACTTTTTTTCTTTCTTCTGCGAAGGTCCGGTCCACTACTTTCTCAGCGTTTTCTGGTCGAATCGTTAAAGTATAGCGTTCTCGATTCCTTTGTGTGATGAGTTAGCTCACAGTTATGGAACTGATATTTACATAAAATGTTTATCATGGTGGCTTGGATGCAGCCGTAAATGTACATCTGTCATTTCATCTACCTCACAAGATTTATGGGATCTGAACGAAAAACAATAAGCGGTTTTGATAAATAAGGCGTTATCATGTAAGAATGGTTTCATGGTATAGGTTGGGTTTTTCTCATGTTATGGGAATTTCTACTGAGAAGAGATTTCTGTACAGCATAAAGCACGAAATGCTTTGAAGGTATGGTCTTTTTGAATTGCTGAGGGATTTACTGTTCTGCCATACCATCCCTTTGCTGGCTGTAGGTTTCTAGGCGTCATAAAAAAGCTCAATAGAGCGTAAAACTGGTCATCTGTCCGGAAATGTCTTTCTGAACGGGGAGCTGTAAGTATACAGTGTTTTTTAGACCTTCGAGTTTTTTGTTTTTTTTTTCTTAGCCTGATCTTAAGGGTTCACCTGTGAAGGTCAGCCTGAGCAGAAAACAAAAAACGTGTGGCTGGGGAAAAACATCCTTTATCCTGTTGTCTTTGTAACTGCAACCTTCATTACATTGTGGTGTTTACCCGATTTCGTGTTAATAAGGGTATCTCTACTAAGATTATTTCGTAACCATACCAAAGCTCGCTGGAGAAACCTGATATGCTCGGCACTGTAGGGGTGTTTTCGTAGGAACAAACGAGTAAGGAACTAAATAAGATTGTAAATGCTACTTTATTTGATGTTCAAGGAAGCTGATAACCCTTCTTCTTTGAATATTAATTGTGAGTATTACTAACGTGTACTGTTTTTCTTCAAGTACAATGCCGGTCAGGGTGTGTCAGGATGACTCGGATTACCAAGCCGCAATAGCGGAAGCTGGAGCGAAGCCTGTCGTAGTGGATTTCTCAGCAGAATGGTTTGTCATTTATATTTTTTCATCTATTCTAAATGTCTTACGTGAATATAAAGGATTAGCCGTTCCTGGGGGGGGGGGGGGGGGGNGGGGGGGGCAATTTTGTGCTGTGTTCAAACCTGGAAGCATTTTCAGACAAGTCGTTCCTTGGCATAAGCCGCTAATCTGTTTTGGATGTTAAACTATATTCACTGTCTTTTGTCAACATTATGTTGTCTTTGCCCGAATTTTCTTACTTTTGAGGTGTGGACCGTGCAAAATGATCGCTCCGGTTTTCGAAAACCTCTCCAACAAATACATGACTATGGTTTTTTTGAAAGTAGATGTGGACAAGTGTGAAGGTTTGTCATCTCACCTTTGTGGATCCCAGTTGAGATGCTGGTTGAAAGTCATCTGTTTTAGAAACAGCTGCCCAAAACGGCGTCTCAGCTATGCCAACCTTCATCGTATTTTTGAATGGGTAAGCCTTGGAATGTTTTTGGAATCAAAAACCGTTGTCATATTGGGCCAGATAAGATTTCTCCTTTTTTGGGCCAGATTTCAAAGTTTATCTGAACCAAGGATCCAGATACGCTTTGAATATGGTTTTCGAGTTTTTCTAAAGCTTTTACACCGTGAACGCTTTTTTAGAAATGAAAATATGACTTGTATCCACAACTATATCTTTTCCTTGTGCAGGACTAAAGTGGATTCACTTCGAGGTGCCAATACCTCCGGGTTGGAGGCAATGGTTCAGAAGTGGGCTGACACACAACCGGCAGGAGATGTTCCCGGCCAATCCGATATTACGAGCCTGATCGATAAAAAACAAATGGAGTGCCTTAATGGGGATGACAGGACTCCGTTGGCTGGTTTCCTCGAAGGTTTGTCTGGGTGTTGATTGAATCGAATTTTCTCCTGCTCATTGGCTTTGCAGTTTGACTGCGAAAAAGCGAAAACCTTCGTTATTGTTCTCGCAAAAATTGTTTTCTAGGTGAAAACGTGCTTAGATCGGACTGTGATGAACAATTGATCATATCTCTTCCATTTACTCAACCTGTTAAAGTTCATTCCATCATGATGAAGGTAGTGCCATTTTTCACATTATTTTCTTAGAATCGCTGCAAAAATGTGATCTTTTGATGCAGGCATTTGCAGTTAGTTTTGATATAAAATTTTGCGTACACGCTTCAAAAACCACTACTGGGAATTGGGAAGTGCATGCCTTTTAAGCAACACGTCGATACGTTTTAGAAATTGTGATGCCATCATTGGTTAGAATTTTCAGTAAACCCAAGTGCCCCATTTCTTTAATTTTTAAATGATTACATTTGATTTCCACTGCTTACTACCATTGTTGTTTTAGGGTACTAATGGAAAAACACCAAAGAAAGTTCGTATCTTCTCAAATCTTCCCAAAACCCTTGATTTCGATGGTGCGAGTTCGGTTGAAGCTGTTCAAGTGTTGGAGTTCAGTGAAAAGGCTCAAAGTGGTGAGTTTCTTTTAATAATCTTCTGTTCTTTACCCGTTCTAGAACATGTATGAGTTAGGAATAGCTTCAGCTTTAGACTATTCTTATGAAATATTTTGAATCTCTTCTGTTTAGTGATAGATTGTAGTGCACACGTAGCGTACAGCTAAGAGGGCTGTAGAGAGCAGCAAGGTCATAGTGGGGATATAAGGTTGGAGAACGATTATTCAACAGCGGAATCGCTGATTATCACAGTGAAGGAAGAATAAAAACCATTCTTCTAGATGGTTCAAAGGGTACTAAGTCGAAGCAGTACCTTCAGTGACATCTCGTTGCATTTAATTTTTTATGGCTTATTTGTTCATTCTATGATCACCGCACTTTCAGAACCTGAACTGCTGTTGTTGAAGTACGTGAAGTTCCAGAATGTCAACAACATACAGCTGTTTATTGAAAACAATCTCGGCGGTGGTGATGTTCGTCATCGTATCTGTGATGTATTTGTTGACCCTTAAATTACTGATAGTGCCATTTTATGGTATTCAGGTTACTGAAATTGAACAGTTGAAGATATATGGTACGCCACTAAGCGGAGTGAACATGAACGAATTCAAGCGGGTAAAGCAATTTCGGTCTTTTCTTGCTTGAAATTGCTTTTGTCTTTGCTAAAACCTTTAAGGGCACTCTATCTCGCAATTGCTTGGGAGCTTAGGTTTTTGCATCCTGGCAACGTAATTCGCAAATAAGCTTTTCAGACTTTTAGGTTGTAATTTCGAACACCTTTTTTGCTCCTCAAGCATCAACATAACTAATCTGATTATTGAAGTATCCTGTCCCGTTAGGGTTGGACTGTTACGGTTGATGGTTTGGTGGTAAAAATTCCTAGCTAAAAATCAAGTTGCTCTTGCGAATCACTATAATCGAAATGCCTGCTGGCATCGGGGGTCTGGTAGTGGAGACGTACATCTCAAAGAAGAAATGCACTATAGCATACTGCATCTTAACCATTTTATATTTTGAAGAGTTATCTTTTGTTCCTGAATTTCGAGGCTTTCATGCTCGTCCAGCAGGAGAAAACATTGGTAGCTACTTTCGAAGCGGCTCTGGTCTTTCTGCATTACTGTTTTACCACTTCTTGCTGCCGTAGCCATCACACCATTCATACTCTCGCCTCTACAAGAGTGTCAATAGCTAATTATTGAGAACTGCATCAGATATCTCTTAGACCGCGGTTGAACCCGCGACTTTCGTTTTATCCCGTCAGCTCTGTGATAGTACTAGCTGAGCGACTCGTACGTGTTTGTTTCGAGATTGCATGGTGCGCCACGTAGATTGCTATCGCCGCAATGATTGTGAAAGTGGATTGACGTGTCGTGAAAAGAGTTTTTAACGCTAGGGAACATATGGTAGTGAAAGCAAAGATTTGGTTTGATCTGAGTTAATAAAGCTCCTGAACTCACCACTCGTTGGCGACAAATGACTCACACTTTCCACTTTTTTTGATTATCTTGTCCAGATTTGTTTGCAGTTTGCTCTGAAAAGATTGCTGCGCTCCCACTGAACGCTCTGTTTATTGACGAGAGTCGATGTAACAGAACCAATTCGTCAACAATTAATCCTCATCGGCTAGAGTCCCTAAAATGTGTTGCCCTCTGGCTCCGCCTGCGCTTGCGCTTGTTATCTTTGTGAATGGTGATGAAGGCCACTCGAGTTCCCCCATGAAGTAGCAACGTGGCTGCTCGCAAAACTGTAAAACATGAAGAATTCATCTGTTAGTCAATCCTAACTAAAACGGAGCTTTTGAGTTCTATTTTGTCTAATAAGTGATTTCTTGCAGGTGGCTGGAAAAAAGGGTGAAGTGGGTCACTAGGACGGCTAGCTGGTTTATTTCTATGGATTTAAATATGGCTATTCTTCTCGTGCTGGTTCGAAGACGTGAGCTTTGTATGCCTCTTTTGCGCCTGCAAATCATCCCGTTTTTTTGTTATTGGTAAAAAGATGTAATAAATGCTTATCTGATTGTATCTGCACTAAAAACTGGTCTCAAACAGCCATTGTACTATTTGTCAAGCGGATCTGATTTTTGGTATGCGTGTAAGCGTGTATCTGTCGATGGTAATGTTATAAACCTTGTTGGTTTAGAATACCTTCAAATCCCTCATAGTTTTTCTTCTTGTTTGATACAAAAAAGCGGAGCAAGATGGATGTGGAGCGGCTCATGAAAGATCTAACAGTGGATCACCTTCACCAAATCCAGCAAAACTTACAGTTAGTCGATTTTATTTGATGTTTTAAGGAGTTTTTTTTTTCCTAACGCATGCTTTTCGTATGTCCCTTATATTGAATAATTGGACGCAGTTTGGTGTACGGCATTGAAGAGTATTGAAAAAGAATTGTTGGCTGAAGTAGAGTAGTAGCATATTCTTTGATCGAAGCACCGCACAATTTGCTGTTGCTGTGTACTGGGTAAAAAATAAGTCGAGGTGTAAAAATTGTCAACCTACCCAGTTCATTTATCAGAATTTCCTGGTAGGTGAACAGAGTTGATTACGGTAATAGTCGTGATAGTTTTTGACATATAGTAAACCATATTCGTTAAGGACGGAGATGGAAGGTAAAAAAGAAGAGCTCCGTGAGATGGTCGGTCGAAGATATCGCGATGTTCTTGAGGCTTCCACTGAGGTGGCGTTTTGATCTGATTGTTTTTCTTGAGGTGGATTCCTGTTCGAAAGTAGGCGGAACTTTTTTTCTAGGTGCGAACCGTACGAGAGCTCGCAGAGGCTCTTGCTGAAGCCGTCGCTCATGCCAGGACAACTCAAAGTGTCGTTGAGCCGAGGTAATTACATGATTATAATCAGTGCTTTGATGAAAGACTGATTCAGTTTTTGGCTTTGTACTTTGATGTAAATTCAAGAAAAAACTTGGCTATTCAATTTAGACCCCTTTCGCGAGAGCAGCAAGTGTCCGTGCAACGTTTTATTGCCTTGCACAGACTCTTGGCTGTGATAGGTGAACCAGACGGAGATGCGCTCAGTGATGCGTTCGCCCTTACTTTGGCCGAAATTCTTCACAAGCAACTGGCTACTGAGCCGTTGTCCACTGCGGTAAGAACAATTATTCTGGCTGATGGCTTTCATTTCCAGTTTTTTGTCTCTCATTCGGTGTAGGATAATTTCTTATTCCTTCTTGTTCAAATGCTATGCACTCGAGGTTCGTCATTAAGGGGGGAGAGAAGTATCAGCAAGAACTGAACTCAATCGCTCGGGGAAAAAGTGTGAATGGGATCATCAATAATCAATAATATCATTATTCCATAAACGAGCTTCGTGGTAATGTCAGAAGCGTGTAGGAATCCATGTAAGAAATGAAAACTCAAGGATCGAAAAAAAGTCCAACTCGCGATTCCATAACTGGTAAACTTGACATGGAAGTTAGCTGGAGTGAAAGCTATCATTGCTCACAGTGTAGCTCTGATTACTGTTAGGAGGTAGTACTTCTCCAATATGTATTTTTCAACGCAAAAGGGCTGTAAAAATTACAGTTTAAAAATCGGTAGAGAATATCTTCCAGAATGTTTAGCGAACGGAGGGTCGTTACCCCTCTGTCCGCTAAACGATGAGAAATGTGATCAGACCGAGTAGAGTAGACAGAGGAGTAGGGTCATCCGGTTCAGTGTGTGCTATGTGCTGTTTCTACGTTTTTATGCTGCTTGTTTTTAGGAAATACATAGATTAACATAGATTACCCAAGTAGGTGTAATTTCTAGACAGCTTGAATGGATAGCGCATCAAATTTCCTCTACAGTCAATCATATACAAGTTTTTGTTGAGATGCATGCCGTCGTGTCTGGGCTTACTGGTCGGGTAATTCGCACGCGTCGGCAACTTCTGTCGGATTTGGAAGAAGAAGTTGGTGAGCTGTCAGAGCCGGACTGGGTGGCGAATCAGCTGACAGCGCTGGCTCTGCTTCGAGGAACGGATTACGAGCAACTTTTGGACATTTATCTGACAGGAAGAAAGGCATGGCTCATTGAACATTTCTCTGAATATTTTTATCGAAGCGTTCAACCATTTTTTAGAATTTTATCACGAAGCTGACAACCGAGTCTGGTTCTCTTCTGAATATCGTCACTGAAATCAAAAAAACTCTCGTGGTAATCGAGCAGCTGTTTGCTCAGGGAGAGCTCGTTAGAATCATTCAGGCTGCTGCATGTCCGTCATATCGTCCAGGTACAGTCCTTCCCTTCCACAGTTTTCAACGTAAATTATTATGTTGATCACAGCTTTGATTGACGCGATCATATGCGATGAAGCGTTCTCATTTGGTCGTATGCTCATAGCCGAAGCTGAAAAAGTGACTCGTCAGCTGAGAGACTTCAAGACTAGTCCGATTCTTTCGCAGAAGATCAACTCTAAATGTACAGATTGGGTCAATGAGTATGTTTATGCAGTTTTAACTGTTACAAATAGCCGCTGTGGCTGCTTATATGACCCTAGGACTCGGCACACATTGATCGATTGCCAAATTTCATTTTATTGCAGTGTGTGTGGTTTTGCTCGTGAACCGGTGATGTCGATCTGTGAATTCTACGAGAAAGCGGACGACATCATCGAATTCCTCCATGCAATTTCTGGAGTCTTGGGATCGGTAAGCTGAAGGATTTTTAAATTGAATATTTAAAAACTTTGATGTCACCAGACTGAAATTCTTATATGTTCTGGTTTATCGAATTTCCCGGCTTACTTCGGGCATTCCTTCTTTTCGGTCAAAACTCACCGTCATTAAGCCGGGCCGACTCATAACTAGGCTTTTCCAAATGTAAATGGTTCAACGTTTCTCCTGAAATTTTTTGAAGATATCGTTTGTTGCTCTTGCTGATCCTGATATTACGCACCAAAGATTCCCTTCTTTGAATTCACTCGAGCAGCGACCATTCATAAATGAATATTGTTAATTATAGCCTTGTCAACTGTCTTTGAGCTTCAAACCCCAATCCCTGCCTCACTGAATGATTCGGTGATCTTCTCAGTGTACGTCCATACCGTCCGAAGCGCTGCTCTCTCATGATCAACTGGACAGGGGCTGTTTGCGTGAGCACCCGGATGTCTTTGTCGCTGCTCCGGTCCAGTCGCTTTCAATCACAGACCTATTTGAGCGTGCTTATTTCACCAGAGCGGAGCTACCTTGCGTGGATTTTACTTATGGATTAGCACTCGTTGCCAGAGAGGATCGCGCTGCCAAGTACACTTTCCCTTTGAGCGTCCTTGAGCCCGGTTGGTTGCAGAGATACCCATACATTCCCTCCACTTCTTTCATGCAATGCTTATCCGAGGTTTTACACTCTGGTCCGCAATACCATCTGGATCACTCCCCAGTGTCGGAATTCCTGCACACCTTCAGTGCATACTTTGTGGCGCTCTGGGACTGGTTATGTGCACTACTCGGAACTGAGAACTTCGGAACCTATTCATTGGCAGCACCTTCTGACACGTCTGCAGCTTGTCCTGGCGTTCGTCTTTGCTCTTCGCTATCGGAGCGATGTCATCCACGTGGAGGAAGCTCTTCAGGAGTCGAGGGGTTTCTTTGATGACATCCATTGTTAGGAGGAGGAAGAACAAGCTAGAGCTGATCCTTGGGTACCCAACAGCAACGTTTAATGTCTATAGCCTCTGTAAACCCATGAGGGATGTGTATGAACGTCTTGGACCTCCTGTGCATTTCTTTGACAAGGGACATCAGGTATACAGAACGTGCTGGTTTCTCAGAGCCCTCCAAAGAACCTGTCGCTAGGACGATCGAAAGCCTTCTCCGGATCGAGGAAGCCCAGGTCTACGCTCAGCGATATTTCTCCATCACTTGTCCAGCTGTAATAATACCATCACTGGTAAACTTTCATTGTGTGAGCAGTCATCCCGATCCAGTGGTAGTGGGGACCACCAATACTTCCTCCTTTTGCTCAAAGATAGGGTAGCTAGTACCGCTCCTCTAAGCATATAGTTACCTTCCTTTAGTAGTGTTCGGAAACTGGGCGAGCCATGCTGATCCTATGCATTTCGAGCTTCTATGCTCAATTTCTAACCAATTTTCCTAGTACTTATCAGCTGGTTTCTCTTCCTGCAACCAACCATCTGCGATTCCATTCCATCGTGCACCAATCACCACAGTGCCAAGATTTCCCTGCTAATGGAAAAGGGGAAACAGTAAGGGGCAGAATCAGAAGAAGGTCTGCGATTGGGTAAAGACCATAAGGGCTTCTGGAAATAATGCTCCAACTTATCCGAACGGTGATTAAAGAGCTTAAAACCTGGAGCGATGGTAGTGGGTCGACCCACCACCCTTGAAAACTCTTTTACTTTGCTCTAATTGGTTGAAGAATGCATAGTGCCAGCAGTTCGCCTTTCTCCCCTTCTCCCGTTTTATCTTCAGAGAAGATTCCTGATTACTATTCGATAACTAGCTTGGAAATAGTTCTAAAGAAGCAGTTTTGATTTTGTGCGTATTTGTGCCACGAATGCACTGACCTTTATTGCAGACCGAATTCTTCTTTTCGTTGACTTCACCGGATCGGTTCCAGTCCATTGACCGCTTACTTCTATATCCTCCCAAGAGTATTCTAATCTGCTACCGGTTGCCATTCTCTTTCTTTACGGAAACACCGTGAATCTAGTTCTTATGTGGCAGAGTAACCTCTAACAGTGATGGGGGCTCGTAATATCCTTTAAATGAATTTCGCTTGAGTAACCTGATTCTGCTGTCTTTCCAGCTTGCATGAATCCGGAGATCGAACAGTTCAGTGAACTGGCTGCTCAGTGCCTCAAATGAGTGAGCAAATCAGATAAATGACCGACAAGTCTTCTCTCTCCGATAATCCCGCTCTAATTGTGCCAGGACTTTGACTTACGTTCATTTCATCGTAGTTATTTTGACCTAAGGGCGTAGGTGGTGTAGTGGCAAGTGGCGCACTATATCACACACACGGTCATGGCTTCGAATCCCGGGTCGATGCCCGCCTAGGCCAACCAAGCCTTCCATCCCTCCGGGGTCGGTGAATTGGTACCAGACAAGTCTGGGAGGATAAAAGCACTGACTTGTACATCGTCTGGCCACCGCAAGTCATTGTATAGGCCACATACGCACTCATTACGCCACTACGATTCTGAATGGAAGTCGAGTGCGGGGGCGCATCCCTCAGACGGGATTGATTAACGCAAAAAAACTTTATCCTTTAAACTTTTATCTTGACCTTCGCTGTTGACTTTGTTCCTGCGGTGCATGCGGTTGTTGTGCTGCCCTTGCCACTTCCCGTCTAGGGTAGTAAGCTGTCAGAAACCTGGGGTATCAATAAGTAGACTGACAAGAATTACTTTATTGGAATTCGAATGCGGGCCTGTCTCAGAGCTACTCTCTTGCGTTTAGCACTTCAGCAATTGATTTTAGCTGGTGAAAGAACATCTTCTCAACTTGCCGTGTACTGACTCCTTGTTTTCATGGCCATAGTTTTATTGATGCACATATGATTTTTTTGCCTCCGATCGCCGTTTTTCTCAACCAAGTCTCTTGTCTGAATACAGATTCCTTTAATATCTCTGAAACTTGGTGACCATGTGATGCTTATTCAGGGATGGCCTCGTATGATTCCTTGTTCCACCGTATATCAGAACCTCTTCGGCGATGTCCTCTTCAGAAAGTTCACGGTGCGTTTCAACAAATTTTCTGAAATCAGTTTTGTACCTCAGATTGCTTAAAAAGTAACCTACTCAAATGTTGCCTCTGCTCCTCAGTAAAATAGATTTTTTCATTATTAATGATGGTAATCCTATGTCGACTGTATGCTCCCTTTAATTAAGCAGCAATGCTTTATTTGAGCACTTTACTTTTTTGGACAGTACGAATGTGACAAGAATTCGATCGCCTCGAAAGGAAGATCGTGTGATTGACATTATTTTGAGGGCATCATTTCCCGAGACCTGCAAGATCTGGAAAATCAGCTCATTCAACAGTTGAAATCCATCAACACTGCGCCCCCTCCTTTATTCGAGAAAACGTCGAATAAGTTCGATCCCCTCACTGGAGTCGGAATTTCTTCTGCTCTTCAAGAGTATGTTATTATCTAAGAATTTATTTTTAGTCTAAAACCATTCCCATAGAAATTTTGTCAGGTGTATTTCGAAGTTTTACGCTGGAGTCCAGAATGCTCGGGAATGTTGTGGAAGATACGAGCAAGTGGATTTGGACTCGCAGTCGGAACGAATCAGAGAGTCA